AAATTTTAAAATTTATAGTCTCGAAAATGCCATTTCCAACTATTTCCGCGGAACTTTTTTTTATAAATAAATGCGACGGAAAATGCAGTAGTTGGTTGTTTATTTTACCCATCTCTAGAGTTTTAAAGCTAAAAGGGTGTTGGCTTCCTAAGTCTAGGAAGCCAAATAACGTTTCTTGTCGTGTATGAATTAATGAAAAGGTACTGGAAAAACAAACACACACACGCCAGTATAATTCGAAATGTAAAAATCGGTCCTGTTTTATGGTAACTGTAACGAATTGAATGCTATAAGGGAATTAAAAAAATTTTTTTCGAGATTTCAGCTGTACGCATAGGCGTACATCTGTATATGGACGCTACTCGCCTGTCTTTACTTCTTTTTCCTGTAGGACTTTTCATTTTTCTTGCGAGCTGGCTTATAGAGACATTTTAAGAACGAAGGTGTTCGGTGTAAACGTTATATTAAAACTACTTCAGCTACACCCTCTCGCACAAATAGCTGAAATTCAATGTTTATGAGCTTTGCATAATTGATGTTTTCTTAGTCTGTTTTTGTTTCATCAAATATTTGTGAAGGTTTTTCAAGAAATTACACGTAAGAAAACGTTCCTCATACCACATACAGTGCGTAAAAAAGATTTTTCGGAAGTACCTTCTTTTGAAAAACTCGATTAATCGGTGCTTTTGCGCTTCACTGTTAACAATACTTTTTTTGATGCCAGCTGTTCCAATTCTTAGTACTTTGAGCCTCAATGGCCTCATTTATTCGAAATGAACCAACACTGACGCCTTATGTATATACTTCATGAATAATTGACTCTAAACAAGAGAGTGGTATTGATCCAGGGGGGTTTCATTTTATATATTTCCCCAATTAGCAACGTTTCTTTTGTTGGCATCGTGAGGTTAATTTGAACTTTTACGACTTATTTGTTGATACTGTCATAGTTCCTTTAAAAAAATTGTTTTATCCAATGTTAAAACTCTCTACATACCCGATGAAGTTTTTCAAATGCTTTTGTTTTCGGGGACTTATTTATATTCTGACAACTATATGATCGGGTTTGTGAAAGCTAAAGGTTGTTTTTTAACTCCCAGCATGAGTTAAAATTAATTTCAGGGGTGAATATTTTGTACTGATTTAAATTATTAATAACTACACGAAGCCATCGTCACGCGGAAAGTTTAAAATATAGAAATAAGTCGCCTCAGACATTAGTCCTTAAACTTTTCTTTTAATGTATAATTGTAAGGACGTAGCGTTTGTTTAGTAAAATACCTAGACATTGAAATCTGCCTTTTATCGTCGAATTCAAGTTCAAGTTCTTTGTGATAAAAATGAAAAAGAATTGGGTGCACCTGGTTAATGGGAGAGAGGTTACAAAATAAATTTGGAGTGCTGCGTTGTAACCCGAGTATTAATATCAAACAGAACCA